AAATGCTGGGAGTGATAGTGACAGCAGCATTCAGGCCTGTGATGTATCAAAAATGATTGAACGTGATCTACAAACACTCATGCCCTCAGTAATACAGAATACATCAATTCATAAATTTGAAGAGAATATTTCTGAAGCATCTGAGCACTGGTGCAATGCATCAATATTTAATGACACTGCCATTACTTCGGGCTCTGAGATTAACCGAGACCTACAGGATCATCATTCAAAACAGAGCACGAAGGTGACACAGAATTCTTCCATTGATTCGATAAAAAGTCACACTCCACTTCCCAATATTATGATGGACTCTTTTGATGATGTGAAACTCGATGATTTGTGTTTGGAGTTTGATAATGATGATTTAAATTTAACGAAATTGGAGGAGAGAGTTGAGGCTAAGGATCGTCATCAGGCACGTGTTGCTGAAACGAGTGATGAGAAGACAGGGAGTGCTTTTCATGATCTGCCTCATAAGATTAAATCATTGATTTTCCGAGTTAAGAAAATCAACGCACTTTATGGTGAGAACTTTTTGAAATTGATTACTCAATTACGGTGGGAATAGTTTCAAGGCGATTGTGAAAATAGAGTCGGTTCTGGTAAAAACAATTTCCTTTATGATCACTGGGTCTTATGATTATTGAAGCTAATAATGATTCAGAAATAATTCTGTTGAAATTATGTAAGACGTATTAAAAAATATTAATAATAATAATTAAAGTAATAATAAATTAAAAATATTAATAATAATAATTCACTAATACGTCATTAAATGAGAAAACGATTTTTATAAAATATATTTTTCTATGCAGATATCTTTTCCTCTTTTTTTTTCTAGATTGGCAAGACGAGTGCCTGAGATTAAAATCTGTGATCAACCGAAGGAATTTAATTTACGCACTCCCAACGAGTGGTGGGAAAACTCTTGTAGCTGAAATTCTAATGTTAAGAGAAATTACGTGTAAAAAAAGAAATGCTATATTTATTCTACCATTTGTTGCAATTGTTCAGGAGAAAGTGAGTGATAAATTTGATACACCAAAAATAACA